GGAAGCGACCACTGCTTCCTCCATTGTCCTTCAATTTTTTCTCGCATTAAACACGCACCATTGCATGTAACTTGTCAAAATTTGGCATTTTCGGATGGTCATTTGTTATATTTAAGCCATTAAGTACCTCTCTAGAGTTTACTTGATATAATTTGATTTTGAATTACATGTACATGAAATTATAGACCAAAGTGGATTCGGAAATATTATTTGTGGTGTTTACTACTTGTGGTGTTTACTGGGATGTAGGTTACTGCCATTATAATTATAAGAAATTTAACAAAGCCTGGAGACTTGGCATGGAGTAATGATATGGTCACTAGAGGATGTGGTAAAAAATTGAGAATATTTTGCGAAAGTTTTCATGTAGGCTGCTTACAACCCGCACCATCTCCAATGAAGAAAATTATGTTTCGAGAAGGAACAAACAGGTTTGTATGTGAAGCGATCACTGCTTCCATGATTGTCCTTGAAACTCATTCCAGTCTCAACAAACACTATTATGCGTGCCATGTAAAAATTTGGTTTTCTGTGTCCGTTATCTATATTTAATCTATTATGGGTATTTATTTTCATTAAATACCTAGAAATTTATTTAATGTCTTCAAGATAGCAAATAAACCATGAATAACAAGTGTCAAACTTTAGAGCATCTACACCCGTAAATTTTAAATCTAACCCCTTATATGTCCACGGCTGTGTTCGGGCATATCGGTGGACCGGTGCCGGTCACCCCTCATTTGTCAGTGCTGCAACACACTCCACATGTGCAAACCCCTATTTACATAATAATCCATGCAACTAAAATTCGTCGTCATCATCATACATAAGTAAAACGAGCTCCATTCGAATAAAAACTATCCAAGTTCTACTCATCGTCAGAGATGTAGATGACCCCGTGCCAGACAGACCGACCTCGTGGTCATTTGTGGCGGGGCACACTCCAACTTATTTTACTCATGGTCTTCTTTTAGTTTCACGAAGACTCACTTCCGCCTCATGCCAGCGAGGTGGATTCGGCAGCGATTCATCACCACCTCCTGCTCTGAGTGGATCGAGTCGAGGATGGCGGCTTGCTCCACCTCGAACTGCACTCTTGCCTTTACGGCTTTGGCGTGTTGTAACACCACCTTCGCCTCATCCATGCCAAAGACACCGGGCTCAACCTCCATACCCATGCCTCCTCCTCCATATCCTATAGAATCACCTCCTCCTTCTCCATTACCTCCTCCTACTATGCCACAATTTGAGAAGAACGATTATATCTTTGGTGGCACGAATCTCGGTGGCGGTCTCCGTGGCATTGGCGTGTTGGAACCCTGCGTACACCTCATCCATGCCAAAACCACTGGGCACAACCTCCATACCCACACCTCCTCCTCCATATCCTACAGACCCACCTCCTCCTTCAACACCTCCTCCTCCTCCTCCTCCCATGGCACTACCTCCTCCTCTTTCTCTGTTACCTCCTCTTATTACGCCACAATTTGAGAAGCATGACGTGCCTTCTCGGTGGCGGTCTCCTCTCAACACTTGGTTGTGATCAATTTGTAATACCTTTTGCCAGACCATTGCAGACGCCAAGCTCACTTTGGAAAGGGAAGGGGAGGTGGAAGCGATGGCGGCGCAGACTACATGGAGAGGAGGGGAATGGGAGCACCTAGGGTCACCTTCATCACCCGTCTTAAATAGCATATTTTGGTCTCCTGTGTAGTGCGCTAGAGTGACGACATGAATGTGTCCTCACAAAATAGAAGGAAGAACCCAAGGGACTGATGGTTTTTTGCACATTCCCCACCCATAAGTCCGACGTGGCAGACGCGTTTGGGCACGCCCGAGCGTTCCCATATCCGCCCCGCATATGAGATGGACATGAGGGATGTCGGACAACCCATACGTTTGGGCTGGGTGTGTGGGGGACGTTTGAGTGGTGATTTTGTGGCCAGGTTGTGTCCCGGCTATCCGCCCAGACGTTTAGGCGGGGGGGGGGGGGCTTGAGGGGTTCGGTTGTAGAAGCTCTTACATGGAACTTCCAATGATGTAACTTTAATGTAGAAAAACTAAAGCATAAGCCTAAACCTAAAACACTAAAACCCAAACATTCTAAAAAACTAGCAAAAACACCAATCACGGGCTAGCCAACCGCACTGGTACTTTCCATAAGTCATCTGAAAATTACCATTGGAGGCCACAAAAGTCGCGACCGCCACTGATACTTTTGTTACTAGTGTCGGGCTGCAGTCCGTGTCAGCCACTAGTATTTTCATCCACAAAAGCCATGAGCCAAAATATGAGTGGCGGGCACATTTGCGAACGCAAGGTCACGTCCGCCACTGGTACTTGAGTTACAACTGGCAGGGACCGCGGGGTATGAATCCACGCCAGTGATTACTTCCTTTGGTGATCCAAAAATAGGGTAGAAAGGATTCTCTCCTTTTTTCCCCAGAGGTGACCCTGAGTTATTGATCCAGCGGGAGGATGATGCCCTTTAAGCTAGGGTCTTAAGCAAGCTTTTGTTAAAGAAATAATTATAGCTTTTGACCGGATCAAAACCAAACAACTGTTGAAAGACAGTTATAATAAAAAATAGGCATGGGTATGAGGTCTTAATGCTTACAACCATATATTTGTGTTATGATTAGATATGATCTTAATTTGTGCTCTTGAAGTCACCCATCAAGATGTGCTTGTTATGTACCGAAGTGGGGGATGTGTCCAAATTATGTCTTGACCGACACGCGTCCTGCATCAAAAGTTAGTTGTCCAACTGAATGCCCTATCTGTTGCACGGGGTTGCCTCGATAATTAAGATTGCTATAATCAGACAAAAGCATTGGGCATTTATGACTACATGTCTTGTGCCCCAGGGATAGGATCCGTGTTACCGTACTAAACCTTTCTGTCACTAGTATTCACAATAACACTTCATGGTCTCCCTGCCCTTAGCCTCTCCATGGCTCATCCTACGTGATTCTGGGTACCTGCATGGATGAAGAACGCGAACGAGACAAGAGACAACTATGGAACCATTTTATTTCACACATACGAGATGTTAATTCAAAACCCTTCCGTTGATCCCCACAACAAATACTTCTGGTTGCAAGGCTTTTGCCTCAACCCATACCTTATCGAACTACTCACACATGAAGATCACACAAAGAACACATCATGAAGATTGATATATTGATAATATGTCTTACAATAGATGTCGTGTGTGATACATGATTACAAGTATGACTACATTGCTGAGAGCTATGGTGGAGGTGAAGGTGATGGCTATGGAGATGGGAAATGGCGGTGGCTAGGGTTGTTGAAGATGGCTACGGTGATTATGAAGATTGGTTGTTTCGGTGGCTCTCTGTTATCCATTTGGCGAAGGCACGTTTATAAAGGTTATTCAGGTGGACGAGGAGCATCGGTTTCCACGTCATACGGCCGGTCATATGAGCGGACACGGTTGTATGGAATACCGTCTTTTCTGGTATTTCTTTTAGTGCACCTCCACTTGTTCCCTCTCCACAAATCCAAATTCGAAACCGCTCGAGAAAAAACCTATGTTGTTTTTTCCTCGAAAAAAATAAAAAAACTATCTTGTGTGGCTATCGAGGCGGACAGAGGCACGGAGCCCCTGTCCAATTTCTTTTCCTTCATATCTATACCTAATAATAAAGGGCCTATTGCTTCTGGCGGTATGTCATTAAAATTGCAAAATATTACCCAATGCCACTTATAAGTGACAAAAACGTTTTGCACGGGATCCCCCGCCTGGGCCGGCCCAAGCATAGGAACCTACTATACCGTTTGGGCCGGCACATGTGCGCACGCCAGTTTTTTAGTTTCTTTTTTATTTTTATTTTTGTTTTTTACTTTAAATAATTAGCAATTTCCAAAAGCTTTTGAAATTTTAAAAAACTGAGTATTTTTGAAATAAAATGTCCAAGAAAACATAAAATGTTTGTGAATTTAAAACATGCTCGGGATTTTTCTAAAAATATTCACATATTCAAAGAAATGTTCGTGATTTTGGAAAAATGTTCGTAAAATAAAAGAGTATATCAGTTTGAAAAAAAGTCCGTGTATTAAAAATTATTAATTAAACTGAAAAAATGTTTGCTAATTCGAAAAATATCGTAAATTTTGAAAAACATTTCTTGAATTACAAAAGAGTTTATTGTTTCATAAAATGTTTGTTGATTCAGAAAATGTTCATGCATTTCAAAAAATGTTCGTGGATTTCAAAAAATATCCAACAATTTCGAAAAAAATGTTCGTCTATACTAGAATTGTTCGCCGATTCAAAAGAAAATGCTTAAAAACCGTCTGCAATGTAAAAAATGTCACAATTTTTAAAGTTTTTTTTTGTAAATAGTAAAAAATGTTCCCAAATTTGTGAAGTGTTCACGAATGATCGAATACGTAGTTAAACAGTAATGCTTCTGAGTGTTTGTGACTTACACCCGCGTGAATTTTGAAGAGTTAACTGCCGGGTGGATTGGAATATTATAGTATGCTTTTAAAACAATGTTTTCTGAATTTCACAATAATTCTTTGAAGTACCAAGTTTTTTCACAACCACGATATTTTTTCGAAAATGTGAACATTGCTTCAATTTTGAATAAATTTCAAAAAAGAAACATTTTCTTGTATTTGTGAACAAATTTCCAAATCATGCGATGATGAGATGTGAACAGAATATGATCATCGCCATTGAAGATTATGACTTCTTTTTCTCCCGTTGCAACGCACGGACTCTCTTTTGCTAATCATCAATCAGAAAAGAAAAAGATAGCATCTGCCTTTCTCCCAACAAGAAGAAACCGCGTAACAATTCCACCGTCCATGATTCTTTTCTGCCTGACCAGTGGGCCCAGCAGGTTGATCGGTGTCATCTGATCTGACTATATACTGCCTCCGTTCGCTTTGCTCCGTCCTGCCCACTCCCCCGCTCGCTTTCCGCCACACCCGCGAAAACCCTACCTCCGGAGGCAACGCCTGGCGAGATGAAGGGCGGCGGCGATATCGAGGCGGGCACCGCGGCACCGAAGGGGACGACGGAGAGCCCCGAGCTGCGCTGGGCGCTCATCCGGAAGATCTACGTCGTCCTCTGCCTGCAGCTGCTCCTCACCGCCGCCGTCGCGGTCGTCTTCGTCAGGGTCCGCGCCATACCCCACTTCTTCGTCTCCTCCTACGCCGGCCTCGGGCTCTACATCTTCATCCTCATCTTCCCCTTCATCGGTGAGGCCTCAAACCATTTCTCTCCTCCATCGTCTTTGTTACGAATTTGTGATCCAATTGCAGTTTGCAGGGAGGGTTTTCATTTTTCTTTTTTGGGAAAAAGAAACAGAGCATGTATGTACAGCCTGTACAAAATTAAATTGCGACATACAACAAGTGCATTTTAAGTGCCACAAAACAACTACTATGATGCACAATTATCGCAAGCCCCGCACCCGATTTGCGAGATCTGAATAATATTCTTGTTTTGCTCTGTCAACTGCTAGCCACTGAGCTATCTTTCTTGAATTTACGCCTGCAAGCATAAAGACTTGGAGTGATTCCCCTGAAAATAGAAGGTCGTTCTATGTATTCCAACTGACCCAAGAGGCAAGCAGTGCGAAATTCGGACGAATTTATACACGATACTGCTAGTTGTATGCGTGCGATTTCATTATGGCTTTTGCTTTGCATTCTTTGTGCAGAGCTATGGATTACAACTCCTGATTTTTTCAGGAACGTCCCATGCACTCTTAATTTTGCTTTACTACTGTAGAATGGGATGTGGTTGCTGTGTGAATTGCAGCTGGGAGTATAATCTGTTACTCATGAAACGCTTGTCAATCTTTTGTATGCAGTGACGTTCCCGTTGCACTTCTACCGCCAGAAGCACCCAGTCAACCTGCTTCTGCTTGGCGTCTTCACAGTGGCCATCAGCTTCTCTGTCGGCTTGACATGTGCCTTCACTAGCGGTAATTGTCTTCCCACCACGTATTCTTTCTGCTCCTGCTGCCAGCTCCTAGCTTGTTCTTGACTCACTCTGCTCTGCTGCTGATGTAAATCAGCATCCTTTAATGCCCCTCTCATTGTGTTAATTCATTACATATACATGGCTAGTAGATATTTTTGTACTATTAGCTAGCTTGTTAGTCACCATGTGCGGCAATTGGTAGTTCCCTGCTGATATTGTGAAGCATTTTGTTTACGTGTGGACTGGGTTCAGAAATACATGTGACTGTAGTTGATGCATTTTCCTAGTTTTCTCCTGCTGACTGTAGAAGAGGATGCATTTTGTTTATGTCAAAGTCAGCAGCATCCCGCGTTTCTTCGTCTCCTCCTACGCCGGCATCGGGCTGTACGTCTTCATCCTCGTCTTCCCCTTCGTCGGTGAGGCCTCAAACCATTTCTCCTCCATTACGAATTTGTGATCCAATTGCAGCGAGGGTTTTCTCTTTTTGGTAAAAGAAACAGAGTATGTATGTCAAGGCCTACAGGGGCTGTACAAAATTAAGTTACGACATACAACAAGTGCGTTTTAAACGCCACAAAACAAATATGTTGCACAATTATCGGAATCCACGGTCCCAATTTGGTAGATCTGAAGAAGATTTTCGTTTCGCTCTGTGAACTAGCCACTGGAGCTCTTTCTTGATTGTACGCCTGCAAGCATAAAGACTTGGAGTGAATCCCCTGAAAATAAAAGGTCGTTGCTTCCGGGCATTTCGACGAATTTGTATGCGTGCCATTTCATCATGTCCTTCCCGCAAAAAATAAAAGATTTAATTATGTCCGATTTTGAGGGCCTTGGTCACAGGACAGGACTAACTTTCCCTTTGCTTTCTTTGCATTCTCGTCCCTGCAAAGCTATGGATTACAACTCCTGTTTTTTGCAGGAACGTCCCATGCACTCTTAATTTTGCTATACTACTGTAGATTGGGACGTGGTAGCTTTGTGAATTGCAGCTGGAAGTTATTCTGTTTCTAAAATGCCTGTTAATTTTTGGTATGCAGTGCTGTGCCACTTGCTAAAATGCTTGTTGTTTTTACGCAGTGCTGTGCCCGCTGCACATCTACCGCCAGAAGCACCCAATCAACTTGCTGCTTCTTGGCGTCTTCACAGTGGCCATCAGCTTCTCTGTGGGCTTGACATGTGCCTTTACCAGTGGTACTCTTTCTGCTCCTAGCTTCTTCTTGAGTCGCTCTGCTGCTTATGTAAATCAGCACATGCTATCATCAGAATCTGATAGCTCCTGCACCATCAAATTCTTGAGTCACATCTGCCAACTCCTAGCCTGTTCACCATGTGCCTTTAACGCCCCTCTCATTGTGTTAATTCATTACATATCCATGGCTAGTAGATATTTTCGTACTATTAGCTTCCTACTGTTATCGTATGGCAATTGTGCTAGTCACCATGTGCGACAATTGATAGTTTCATACTGTTATTGTGAAGCATTTTGTTTGCGTGTGGACTGGGTTCAGAAATACATCCGCTGCCAATTTGCCATACCCGTGCAAATGGTAGACACGGCCAGGCAGCCCATGTGACTGTAGTTGATGCATTTTCCTAGTCTGTGTTGAGGGCAAATTGTAGTTGTTGGTCACCATTTATGATTGATATGCTTGTCTGAGTTAGAAGCATTTGTAGTATTGCCAGCTAGCAGGATTACCTTTTTAGAAGAGCTGGCTTTGCTATTTTCAGCGGTTACTTTTTCACTAAGAAATTGGCAAACAGTAACCTTTGCTTTTCATAGAACATTGGTTGGAACTTGCATATATTTTTACTGTTTCTTCCGGCAACTATTTGTTTTAAGATACATAGTGTTATGATAGCAATAATATGTCAGCCGAGCTGCTCTTTGATCTGAAGGGCCGATTTGTCCAATAATATGCCAGCCGAGCTGCTCAAGTTGACATGGTTTTGGTAAGGACGTGATTTAGGCTGCAGGACTAGCTTAAACTTTTATCAAGATAGAAAGGATTTTCAGTTGATATATCATACTAGTGTCGTGATAAGACAATAGATGCTTCATGCATGTGCTGGTTAAATCTCATTGGATTAAAGTGATTGAAAATACATAATCTTTCAATTTAGACATAGTTATATTGACAGGCACTCTGTGATCTGTCATCCATTTGTGTTTGCGTTAGTGTTCACGACTGCATTTTGGGGTTGTACCAATTCCAAGGTTCTTTCTATCTTGTACCACATCGCAGGAGGTTGCTGCTAGTTTGCTTCTTCAATGCATCACTGCCATTTACTTCAGATTTTAGCATGCATGTGCTTTATTGTTTAGTCAAATTTACATGACAGTTCATTTAGAGATGTATGCGATGGTAAGAAAGCAATTAGTTCATTTAGTAGCCGTCCTCTTATATATATATGTGTGTGTTTTGTACTTTGTTGGTAGGATGGGTTTTCTTTGATAAAGAACCACTGCTAAAATAGTCCGCTATGTGTGCAGGCAAGGTCATTTTGCAGGCTGGGATTCTTACAATTGTGGTTGTCTTGAGCCTCACTGCTTACACCTTCTGGGCTGCAAGGAGGGGCAAGGACTTTAGCTTCCTTGGTCCTTTCCTATTTGCTTCTCTGATGATTTTGCTCGTCTTTGCTTTCATTCAGGTTAGATGCCGTCCGTTCCCTTCTCTAGTTAGGTGTGTCGCCCATTTACCTATCAGTCTTCTCTATTCTATAATGCAAGTACTGATCATGACTTCTGTTTGCAGATCTTCTTCCCGCTGGGCAAGCTCTCTCACATGATCTATGGCACGCTGGCGGCACTCATCTTCAGTGGCTACATTGTCTATGACACGGGCAGCATCATCAAGCGTTACAAGTATGACGAGTATGTCTGGGCTGCCGTCACGCTCTACCTTGACATCATCAATCTGTTCCTGGGCCTGCTGACTCTGTTTAGGGCGTGTGACAACTAGGCACGTCTCCCTGCCCCTGCTCTCTCGTGCTTCAAATCCCGTCGACGAATTTGGTATCCTGATGAGTCTTTGACATGAAGAATTGTATAGTCTGGTCTGTCTCGCTGGCACGGTGAAAATGTTGCTTACTTTAGTTGAGTTGATCCCTAGTAGAGAGAAAACGTAAGAAAACCGTGCGCCGGTTCTATCCTATGGATGGTGGATGTGATGGTGTCTTTAGATGTGCTGGATTGGTCGATTGGTGGTGCTGGGTTTATTTAGCTGGGTCTTTGACATGCTGGATTGGTGGTGCTGGGTTTCTGATATCATTTATGTAGCTGCGTGGCTTCAGGACGAGGGCGATATTGTTTCCTAGCACATATGAATTGGTCTCTTGGCCCGTTTTGTGGATGGTGTTACTCGTGGACTATATATGAAATACTCCCTCCGGTCCTTTTTATTCTGCATATAAGAATTGTTTGAAGTCAAACTCTACAAAGTTTGACCATATTTATATGAAAAAATATCAACATCTACCATGATAAAGTTATACAACATGAAACTTTAAGTCATGACGCATCTACTAGTATTGATTTCACATTGTGAATGTTGGTATTTTTTTATAAAGTTGGGCAAACTTTACGAAGCTTGACTTCAGACAAGTCTAATATGCGAACTAAAAAGGACCGGAGGGAGTAAATGAACAATCAGACCTATTCTACGCCAGAACTTTTTTTTGAAAGATCCGGGGTTTCCGGCTTCATTGATTTAGAAGAAAGCAGCGGGAGAACAGGGGGTGATCAAGCGATCATGGATGCAGTTTGAGAAATGAAAATGAAAACTACAGGGTGACCGACTTAGCCCTCGGCCTAATCTCTCACTACATATTCCCCAAAGGGGGGCTCTAGGCATGTTGCTCCTGCCATTCTCCATAGCTCGATCGTGTTCCTGATGGAGTGCAGCACGTCTTCAGCATGGGGGAGTTTGCTGTTGAAAACACATGCATTTCTCTCCTTCCATATCTCCCAGGCTATCAGCATCATCATCGTCTTGAGCCCTTTCCTGGAGTTTGATGGTGCTAGTTGGACTGTTTTTTTCACGTGCCTCAGCAATGAGTGGCTCGTTGTTCTGGTAAGCTGCAGGGCTGCACATCCATTCCAGGAGGATGCCGCCTCCCAAACCGACCGTGCGAGCGGGCAATCCCAGAGTAGGTGCGTAGAACATTCGAGATTTCTGAGACAGAGAGCGCAGAAGTAACCGTTTGGCCACCCGCGCCGCTGCAGGCGATCGTTGCACCAGAGTCTGTCTTGGAGGAGAAGCCATGCAAACATCTTAACGGTTCCAGGGGCCCAAGCCTTCCAGATTGCCGCCTTGATTCCGGGATTAGGGGCATCGCCTGCCTGCAGTTTGTAAGCAGCACTGGCAGTATAGACGTTTCCACCACCTGCCACCCAGGTGATCGAGTCTTCCTCCGTTGTTAGTGCGACGTTGGCCCTGCGAAGCTTTCGCCAGAGCTGCAGGTACTGAACCACCATTTCGGCCCTATTGCCGTGCTGCAGGTCTTGAATCCATTTGTCATTTGCCAGGGCCTCTTGAACTGTCCTGCCCTTGCCACGCGAGTGCTGGAAAAGAGTTGGGAACTCTTGGTATAGAGGCATTGATCCCAACCAAGAGCTTGTCCAAAAAGTGGCTGTTCTTCCGTTTCCCGGCTGCACTGAGGTGGCCGATGCAAAGAGCACACGATCGTCGTGATCGCATGGGACGGAAAAGCTCATCCAGGGGTTATGCTGTTGCTGCCATGAAAGCTAGAGCCATCGCATCCGCAGGGCCGCGCCGAAACGGTGGAGATCCAGGATGCCCAGCCCTCCCTTGTCCACCGGCCGGCATACCTTATCCCAAGCCACCTTGCATTTGGCCCCGGTGATTTTCTCGTCCTGCGCCGAGAGGAACTGCCTGCGAGCCTTGTCCACTTCTCTTAGGATTTTCTTTGGGACCTTGAGGACGGTCATGGCAAACACTGGCAGCGCAGTTAGCACCGCACGCACGAGGACTCGCCTGCCAGCCATGCTCATGAGCCGACCCTTCCATCCCGCCAGCCTAGATCGAATTCGGTCGGTTATGAATTGGAAGTGCACCAGCCTTAATTTTCTCCTGGAAATGGGCAGTCCAAGATAGGTGGTTGGAAAATAGGTTTGTTGTCCTCCGAAACTAGCAAGCACCTCAGACAGCTAAATGTCATTGCAGTTTATTGGAATCACCGAAGACTTAGCCTGGTTCAGTTTGAGCCCCGTGTAGTCGCCAAATTTTTTCAGTAGAAAAAGGAGCGTTTCCACTTCTTCCTTCTCTGGATTTGCAAAGATCACCGCATCATCCGCGTATAGGCTGGCTCTCATGCTGATCCCCCGACCTGGCAGCGGAGCCATTGCTCCCTCCACTGCAGCAGCTGCGAGCAGGTGGTGCAACGGGTCGATTGCCATGATGAAGAGCAGCGGAGAGAGGGGATCGCCTTGTCTGAAACCGCACCTGTGGGAGATCTGCGGTCCAGGGACTCCGTTGAGCATGCATGACGACGATGCCGTAGATAGCAGCAGTGCGATCCAGTCACGCCATCTTGGTGGGAAGCCCATCCGCTCCATCAGATCGAACATGTACTCCCAAGAGACTGAATCAAAGGCCTTTGCTATGTCCAGTTTAAAAAACAGAGCCTTCTTATTCATGCGGTGCAGCATCCTTACTAAACTTTGAACGTATTGGAAGCTGTCGTGGATGCACTTTCCTTTTTGAAATGCCGTTTGTGCCGGGGAGATGATTGCACTGAGGGCCCCGGACAGCCTAGTCGAGAGCACCTTTGAGATTAGTATTGCGATTGAGTGTATGAGGCTGATCGGCCGGAAATGTCCCACTTCAGAAGCACCGTTTTTCTTGGGCAGGAGCACAATGAGGGCAGTGTTGAGGCTTGCAAAGTTTTGCCCTGAGAGGTGATAGAATTTTTGAAAAACAGCCATGATGTCCTCTTTGATTATATGCCAACAAGATCTGAAAAAATGGCCATTGAAACCGTCCGGACCCGGGGCTTTATCCGTTGGGGAGTCGACTATCGCTGCCCAAACTTCTGCGTGCGAGAAGGGAGCGTCCAAATCCTGCGGGTCGATCCTCGGGACGTTTATCCTGTCCCAGTTTAGGGTTGCTTGGCGTGATTCCTGTTTGCCCAGACTGCTTTGGAAGTGATCATGAATCATTTTTTCTTTTTCCTCATGTTCGTAAGCCACTGTGCTGCCGCTTGCAAGAGAATGAATGTAGTTTTTTCAGCTTCTTGCTCTCATTTTAGCGTGGAAAAACTTAGTGCTTGCATCACCAATCCGCAGCCATGTGATCCTTGAAGCTTGCCTCCTCCGTGCTCTCTCAATGGCTGCCAACCCTAGGACCTTGAGCTTCAGCTGCTTTCTGAGGTTGATCTCGGCTGCCGACAGTCTTCTGCTCTCCTGGGCTAGATCAAGCAAACAGATGACTTCATTTGCTATGTGAAACTGCATGGTTGCCCTCCCAAAAGTGGTTTTGCTCCATATCTTCAGGTCCGCCGCCGTCCTCTCAAGCTTCTTCTTCACCCTGACAAAAGGGCAGTCATGGTGCACTGGCCGTTGCCACGCTTGCAGAATAGTTTCTGTGAAGCGGGGGAAGCGCGGCCAGAAACTCTCAAACCTGAAACGTGCCTGTCTGCATGGCTTGCTTGCGACTGTCAGCTACAGCGGGCAATGATCCGAAAAACATGTAGAGGCAGCCACTAGGATGTGATCAGGGTGCAGTACTTCCCAGTGCTCGTTGCAGAACACTTTGTCGATGCTGCAAAGTGTTGGCACTTCTCTTTCGTTGCTCCAAGTGAAGCGTCGGTTTTTGCATTTTATCTCCCTCAGTCCATCTTGATCAATGGCCCTCCTGAACTTTCAATCATTCTTTTGTTTATATTGGCATTGTTCTTGTCAGCAGCCTGGTAGATCATGTTAAAATCGCCATTGATCATCCATGGCTTTGCCGTAGATGGAGCTGTCGCAGTGATTTCAGCCAGGAAGCTATCTTTCTGGGCGTCATCTGTTGGCCCATACACCATGGTGATCCAGAAGTGCAGCCCAGAGTGGAGCTCAAGAACCCTAGCCGTAATGGAGAACCTTCCTATGCTATGAGAAACTACGTTGACTACCATTTTGTCCCAGAAAATGGCCGCACCCCCTCTAGTACCTACAGCTGGGAGGACGACGCAGCCTTGCAGCGAGGAGCCACCGATCTCCCTGGCCATTGCCGTCGACCACACCTCTATCTTGGTCTCCTGCAAACACAACATTGCTAATCTATGCGCGGTGGCCACGCCGTTGATCGCAGTACGCTTCGCAGGGCAGTTTAGTCCCCTAAGATTCCATGACATGAAGTTCATGGTATTGTCATTCATCTAAAAACCAGCTGTTGCTCCGCCAGCTGAAAAAACTACTAATGCAGGGATGAAACACCATCACATACAGCCTGGGGCGGCGACGGCCACCAGTAGGCCCAAAACCCCGTCGCCATGCAGCTAACCACATTATCGATGAACTAAACATTGACACTAACCTAGCTCAAGCCGGTTAAAGACCAGCCGCTGGCGGATCCTAGCTACATCTGATAATGCTAACATTACTACACTTGCAGAATCTCCTGAGCATCTGCCAGACCTGCCATGCCTGCCGCGATCTTGAGAGCGCCTTGATCGAGGCCGGTGATCTTTGCAATGGCAGCGATGTTGCCCTCCGACAGTGGCTCTTGGAAGCGCTTCATGATCTGGGTGGCCGCTTTTGGTGTCATCTTGTCCTTTCGGCCGAGCTCGCCAAGCTCCTGGATGAGGCGCAGCACCGTCCTCTGGGCCACTAGGGTGGTGATGCCTGCCGCAGCCTGACGTGCGCTCCGGCGAGAGGGGGCCGAGAGAGCCCTGGACTTTGGTGGAGTAGGGTGGCGAGGGCATGGAGGCTGGCGCGGAAGAGTGGGTGCGGGCACCG